AGCTAAGTGTAATAGTTATGCATACATGAATGAGATGAGATGAATGATGAGATGAGTTTATGAACTTTTGATGACACCTGAGCACTTAATGCTTTTTTCAATGCCTAATATTCGGTTTGAGATGAAATTGTCTTCGTACTGTATATCGATTGGTAATAATATATATATATATATATATATATATAAATAATATATATATATATATATATATATATATAATGTTTATATATGTTTATATATATATATATATATGTGAAAGAAGCGTTACTTTGAAATGCAAAGAAAAAAGTGATTGTCATTAGAAATTTCTAGCGGCATAAAAATTACGTAAATGAAATAATAGCTATTTTACATACATACATACATACCAATATTATGCATCACGATCTTTATAGAAATGATATACGTGCACAATTCTCCCTACATGATGTCTTAACAAAATATTATTTACTTTCCCGGTGATATGCAAAAAAAAAAAAAAAAGAAAATTATAATAATAAAAAAAAAAACACTTTCAACCACAAACGCAAGGCAATGACTTTTGGTATCCCACGGAAATATTAATGCTTCATGCATTATTTCTATCATTATACATTATGTGTACATGAATATATATATATATATATATATATATATATATGTATATATATATATACATCTATGAAAATATTTACATATCGTGAATGCATATATGTATGTATGAATGATGCCAGAAATTTTGTATAATACCTTTTGAGGAGCTTCAATTAATGACAATTATGGTCGTGCATTTATACATGTGCGTGTGGTTATCTGCGTTTAGAGGAAAACACTATACCACATACAACATATATATGTATATAGCGGATATATACTTACAAATAAACAAATGAATAATAGAAATAAAGTGCGGTTTAAATGATGCGGTATACGTATGTATGTAAACGAGTCTTTCGATGTGTATGCATGCACTTAGTTTATAGTCAACAATTCATAAATTTTATGAAGACAACCGCAAGACAAGTTTATTGTCATTTGCTTTTTTTGTTTTTTATTTATTTATTTTTTTATTTTTTTCTTTTTTTTGGTTGTGTTGATGTATGCTGCCGTTGTGGCCGTTGCTGTATACTGCTGCTGTTTTGCTCAAATAAATCAATGGAGAAATTTAATAAATTTTCTATCCATTAGATAATGTATACTAAATGAAATTTTTAAATAAATTTTAACTTTTTTTTTTTTTAATTTTTTTTTTTTTTTTTTGTTTTATATTTATTTATTAGAAAAAAAGTGAAATTCTATTAAGGAAACCTAAGTTTTTATAATGGCATTGTAATCTTAAGCAAATAAAACGCATCAATGGAGGAAAATTATTTTGATACCGAAAAAGAAAATTAATCTGCAGTCAGTCATATTAATTATTTAACTTCACACTTTGGCATCTAAAGCAAATAGTATCGCAACCTTAGCAGCAGTAATTGAATTTACTGTTCCGAATGCGCTGGGAAAACTTAACGAAAACAAGTTTCTGTCAATACATAGATATCTCTTGACTACACACACACACGCATACAAACATAATGTGTTTATTGTACAAGATATTGCATTGAATTTTCTTAACTATTCTCCCAATACGTAGTTCGCTGACAGCATTACTGGCACCATCATCAGCCAAGCAACAATATTACTGCCCTGAACTTGGCAAAGAAAATGTAATGAAGACCAAAAAAAAAAAGAAAAAAAAAAACATTATAAAATTTCCCTCACATCATTCCTTATGGTATAGAGCATCATTAAAAAGCCACGTTTTATAAAAGGCAAACTCGCTCCCCATAAACCAATGCGCGCGCTACACAATATACATACAACTGGAATGCATAGTAATCAACAATTGACAACTTGTGAATCTTGTTTAATAAACGCAAAAACGAAAAAAAAATAAAAATAAATAAAATAAAAAAAAAAAAAATGCAGGCCACATGTTGCATGCTTACTAAATGGAATGGCAGACAATTTCAGTTGCAACTGCCATTCAGCTCAGCCAGTCAGTCAGTCTCTGCATAACATTTTGATTTTACTGATTTATGAATAAACAAATCATTTGCATAGTTTACTGTGCAATTCTAAGCAAACACGATGGGAACAACATCAACATCATCATCATCATCATCATCATCATCATCATCATCATCATCGTCATCAACAACATGGTCCGAAAGACTTCAAAGTCAAAGAAAGCACAGCTCTAGGAAAACAAAAGCAAAGAAGAAAACAAAAAAAAAACCAAAACTATGTTTGTTCGACATTTACTAACAAAAATGAACGAGTAATCGGAGTCGTAGTAGTAGTAGTGAATGAAATGATAATTGGTCTTGAATTTTGTGCATCGAGAAAGAAAGAGAGAGAGAGAGAGAGAGAGAGAGAGAGAGAGAGAGAAGCAGAAATTAAAGTGAAAAGGTTTCTTAAAGAAATTTGAAACTATTTCAAAACACAATGACATGGAATACATTAAAGGTTGAAAACAAAAAGTCATCATTAATATGAGACTAAGTTCATATATGTATAGCTTCTTAACTACACATATTTCTAATGTTAAAAATAAAAAATAATTCAAAATTTATATTCACTACCCCACAAATATTGTTGTCTTCATTATCTCGCTGAACTCGCAAACTTTTTATCCAAAGTTTTTTAGTTCAATATCTCTTGCATGTCACTCGTGGGCAGACTGTGTCGATTCTCGCATTTGCTCCCAGTTTTCAGATCCCATCTTACGGGGATTGTATGCTGTAGTTCTTTAGCCAAGTGCGAGAAGATGATTTTTGACAGATCTCAGGTCCATTTTCAAGTTTTATTTATGGTTTATTATGATAAACATGACTATTATTATTATTATTATTATTATTAATTTTGGCCAGAGAAATAAGTTCTAAGCTCTTCATTCTTAAAATATTGGCACTCAAGGCAATCGGCCTTAATTAAGAGCCCACGGTTTGAACCCACGACCATTGACTTGTTAGTAAAGATATTCATTCTGCCTCTAATCTTCGGCCATTCAGGCGAATAAGTTGAAAGTGTATTTGCTCTTGCTCTCTATCTTCATTTAGGCAAGTAGGCGTACACAAAACTATGGAAGATTCGAACAAAGTCGAATAAAATTTTCTTACGTATATTTATAGACGATAAACCTTGCGACAGGAGTTAACTTTCACTTGCAACAAGGGAAAATCTTATAGGTATATAGATGTATATAGATGTGTATTTTCTCCTGTTTATTGTACTAGTAATCCTGCAGTATCTGTACAACAACTAGAACAAATCAGCCACATCGACCCAACTTTATAGAATATTCGAGTTATCCTTTTTTTAAGATTTCTTTTTTGGGGGACATCCACCACTACATGTATCACGTCCGCGTAATATAATAAAGTATTGAAATTGCATTGTTACCCATTGAAAAAAGGAGCAAAGGACGTAATCTGTAGCTTGAACAAAAATTTACGTTAACAAAATTCAGGTCAACTCAGAATATTAAAGGTGTTACGTACGTCCGCATTAACTAGTGATATAGGATATAATGATACACAACGCCAGTGGGCGAAGAAATCTTGTTATGCAACCGTTGAATTTCTCTTGGATAGAATGACTAAATTATATATTTATCAGAAGAATAGAAAGCGACATATAAATTTTATTAATTGATTTGTGCGAGCGGATGTTTTGATCCATTTTTGTGTAGATTCCGTAGCATCATCACTCATTGAATATAACATTTCATTGTTACACCTTACACCTTGCATTTGCAGTATAAGGTTGTATGTAACACGCGGAAGAACTTGACATAGATGCAGCTTTTATTATATCGATGGCTTCGGACTCACTTTCTAAATCGCTTGTCGATGCGGCTGCAGTTCCGTCATCTATTCTAATGCAGCTTGCAATTTTTCCAAATATTTTAATGAAATTTTTTTTGCATGCTTTGACCCAAGGACTAACGCTATCGAAAATGGTTCAGATCGGACCACTTTTTCGATTATTTCACATATAAAGATAGTATATAGCAACTTTTGTTTTGCTTTTGAAAAGGAAGAAAATTTCAATATTTTTGCCTCATTTAAAGCCGATATCGAAATTTTTGCGACCAGTTTGCCACAGACAGTCCTAGCGACGAACAAGCAAGCACACCTGTGAAAGACATACATTTTTTTAGGACTTCTAAAGCTTCTAAATATAGACAGTTACCTTAAGAAGCGAACAGAGATAATCTTGCTCAATTTGATCAAAGATAGACATCATGCCTATCGGTCTATCCATCGGACATTTAGAGTTGTGTGAGTTGTGTCTTTTATGTCTTCATCGTTTCGTTTATGGGTACGAAAATGTGATCGATTCATTATTACTGTCATTGTTATCGTTATATTATCATTCATATTATATTATTTGTATGTGTATGTGTGTGTCTGAGTGTATATGTATATATATATATATATATTCACACAATTATTTAGAACTTGTGTACATACATGATTATTGCAATGAAAACATATTTAATTTTTTTTCTTTTTAACAAACATGCATATAACTACATATATATATATGTATATATATATATATATATATTGTACATAAATATAAAAGCTTGCGTGTTAAGATAAACTATTTTTTGCAGACATTTCACACTCTTTCTAAACACAATTGTAATCACGGACGAACTTGATCAGTTTTTTCACATACTTTCCATGCATGGCATTAGAAATAAAAGATTTTTCGTTAATGTTGAATAAAAATTGTATAATGACTTGCTGTTGAGGTGAAGCGAGTAAACAAAAGAAAAATTAAAGAAATCCCAACACCTTAGTAACCCAATCACATAAAGCACTTTATCCATCTATTGTGTTTGTATTTGTATATATATATATATATATATATATATATGTGTGTGTATGATTTTATGAACACGTTCATGATATGTATTCAGTGTAGACATCATCTGTACCTACATATAGTATACCATACATACATACCTTTAATAATCTTTAGTAAAAATTTTTATTTTCTTAATTGACAAAAGACTGGCATATGGAGACAGTGTGTCGGATGTCATCGTTTGTTATTTCTTTCAGATGACTTAAACCAAGTACCATTATACAAATACTTGTACTCATAGACACACACACACGCACACTTATACAAGAATGATAAAAAAGTGAAAACATTTCTGCATAATTATCCATTTTTCACAGGCTATACGCGCGGGCTCGAGCCGCACCAAGCCATCGCCATCAGCCAACCAGCCAACCCAACCAATTCCACTCAAAATGTCTTTGGCAACAAAAACCGCATTAAATGAGTGAGGTTTGTTTTTTTTTTTGTATTTATTTACTTTTTCTTCTACATTTTTTTGTTTTTCTCGCGTTTTTCTTTCTATTAATTTTTTGTCATAAATAATTCTACACTTTGTGGGCAAATTTAAGTGAACGTAAATGTGTAAAAAACTGAACGCGTTAAACTTCATTCGTTTAACACTTACTAACTGGCGGTTTATGCTTTCGTAAACGTTTGCGTGCGCATTGCTTTGGCATTTTTATGTGTTCATCATTATGTTTTAGTGCCTTTATTTTATTATGCATTATCATTGCCGGCAACGACGTCATTAGAAAATTATGCACCAACATAATAACAAGTTTAACCGTTAGTCATGTACATGACAGAGCTTTTTGACCCGCTCTCAGTGAACTTGAGCCTAAAAGATCGCTTGAACTCAAATGCACGAATAGCTTCAGCAAAAGTAAAAGTTATATGTACGTACGTGCTTTCCCGTATTAAGTTTTTCATGCAATTGATTTTCAATTAAATTACAAGAAAGACAGAGAGAGAGAGAGAGAGAGAGAGAAAGAGAAAGAGAAGAGACAAAATTGCTGAAGTAATCAATTATAATTGTCACTTCAGTATTGCATTCAGTATCTTAGGAAGGACATAACATTTTTTCTTCTTCTTCTTCTTCTTCTTCTACTTTTTCTTCTTCTTTATAGTACCTTTGAAAAATATCTATGAATACGTGTATCAGGGATCTCTACGAAACATATATGTGCATATATATAGTAAATTAATTTAGGCCTATTATCCTTCAGAATTTCAACCGATGCAAGCACCTATGGGCATCTCGACCGTGACAACTCACTCATTCTTTTAAACTCCCGCTATGAAGTTTAGTTAAATTTACTTAAGAAGAATCATGTCCCGAGTTTTCGTGTCATGCGAGTTTTTTTCACTGGCCAGTTCCCAGTAAAATGCTATGCATGCTGACTGATTGCTTTTTAAAATTTTCTCTAACTCTCACTATTCAATTTTCGGATAGAATCGAAGGATAGTTTTTACTGGTAAACGCTGGCGGGAAAAGCAGTAGAGAAACTAAGGAAGAAACGCTACCACGACCAAATTAAAGCGGACTAAGGAAATGATAGCTGGTCTATAAGGTATGATAAGTGTCTAGTGTGCATGTCCAGGCGGTATGGTAACGCGCGGCAAATAGACAGCTATCTATAATACATAAAGGGCATTTGCTATATGTGGTGAATATTTTAAACATATTTCCGATAGATTTTTCCAAAGCAAATTCTCGCCAATGTAATCAACATTTTTATTTATTGACTTGATTTTCTTAAGATCAAATCTTTGAATCTCTCTTGAGCATTGAGATTATCTACGTTCAGCTAATTATATATATATATATATATATTTTTTTTTTGGTCATTAAATTTTCATATATTTTGCATATTGTCTCGATTGTGAACTTAAAAGTGAATCGAGTAATTTTTGAGCCATTCACGGCGCGGTATACTTCCCAAACTGGCATTTTGTCAGTGGCTGTAAACCATTGTAATGAAGATGATATAAACGTTGATATTAAACAGTCAATGACTCTCATCAACACAAAACATTGCCAGATATATATTGCAACAAAAAACAAAACAATAACAAACAAAGAGAGAGAGGTATACTTACTTATGCAGTATATTTAAAAGAAAGAAAGAAAGAAAAAAATAAATAAATAAATAAATAAAATACTATCAAGGTATTGTCACACACAATTGTTAACATTTACCATATTTATCGGTAAAACGTTTATTATACCTTCTTCTTCTTCTTCTTCTTCTTCTTCTTCTTTTTTTTTTTTTTTTGTTTGCTCATTATTTGGCTACAGCTTGAATACAAAAAAAAAAAAAACGCATAAAGTAATCAAAGGTGAGTTACAAAAAGTATTGCGCCTTAATAATATCTGTACATTTTTCTATACCTAAATGTTTTTCTACATTGTTTCCCAATTTATGTTACGTTAATTGTCGATTTTAATACGCAAGACTAATTAAATTTATCGGACTCAATACTTTTTCGACAACATTTTCAAATCTATTGACATTAAGTTTTGAATGATGTTAATGTTAACGTTGATCTTGGCAAGTGTTACTTACTTCAATCAAACGAAAATGTTTATCCGGCCAATTAATGAACACTTTCATATGCATTATGAATAATGAAGATTGCAAATAATTTACATTAATAACATGTATGTTACAAGATTTTTGCTTTTTTTTCTTTTTTTCATTTCGTTTTGTGTTTTGTTTATTCATTGTTGGATCATCATCTGCCGTAAATGAATTACATCTAATATTAACGCTTTAGTGATTTTTTTAAAACTTCATAATATTTTCCGTTGGTTTTCTTATCTCAGATATATACAAAAATTGATGAGTTTTTTTTTTTTTTAATTTTATTTTGGACACTAATGGAAAATAAAAAAAAAAAAAATCAAAGATAGTAAATAAGAAAAGTGTGAAAGTACGAGTACTATGCTTGAGAAAGCTTTATGCAATTTTCTCTCCTTTTTGTTCATACACTTCCTCTTATAAGAAAGTATTTTGAATTTCCGTTGCGTTTTTATCTATAAAAAGAGTTTGTGAAAAGTCGGTAAATCATCAAATTATAAAAATGATGAACAAAAAAAAGCAATGAAACTTTTAAGCAACATTTTCTTCGTTTTTGGATATTTGGAAAAATAATAGGACCAATATTTTGTATTATCTTCTTCCATGCGCGACCTAAGATCGATATTAGTCATATTCGTTGAAGCACCCTCGCAAGCCAACACGATACAAAACCTGACCACGCCTCCCTAATAATGTTCTGCGCATTAATTGTCAGAAATCAGAATAAATAAAAACGCCCTCCGTGCTTATGGTTTACTGCAGCCGGACAAAGCCCAACTAATAATAATCGGCGGACTACTTGTCAAAATTCAGAATAAATAAAAACAAAATACAGCGAGAGATTTTGTTTTCATTACTTTGGTTTCTCCCCGCCCGGACAGCCGGACAAAGCTCTTCGGAGAATTTTTTCCCATCAATCAAGGCAGCATTATATGCTGAGATGTTCGGCCTTTACCCAGATTGAGGACCTTGTTAGTCGACAATATTGAGCTTTGCCTTAGCCTGCAGAATGAAAGGCTAATTAACACTTCATATGTAACGCATGCGTCATTGGAGACAATAGGGATAAGTTTTCATGGCAGAAATTTAAGAGACATACAGAGATTAACCCGTTCGTCTGTCTGTCTCATCATGTTCTATTAAAACGTTCTCAACATTAAACACAGAGTGTTTGAGTCCGTCACAAATATTCAAAACAAGTAATAATAACGTGAAGACTCGGCGAAAACATTTAGAAGATTTCTAAAAAAATGCAATGAAAAATTTGAGCCTGATCCGTCTTAAGGAAGATAAACTGTAATTTAAAGTCCATAAAAAATATTCATTCGTAACTGTTCGCTTGTAAAGTCCCCTCTAAGAATTGGGATGGAGACTTGCCCATAACCATATGCACTCTTAAATGATACGTAGAAATCCAACTAACGTGAGCCGCCCGTACTTATGACTATATAGGGCGTAGGTAGGCAAATGGCTATTATTGATGTTGATCTAAACCCTGATCCATGAAATGTTCGTAAAGCGCAGCGTAACTAATTCGTGTGTGAGGATATGCAGTTTCAATTGTCTATGAAAATATTAGTCTTTGCATCATCGTATGTGTGATTACGAGCAGAATACATTTTATTAATTCGTTAGACGTAAGGCATATCAAATTATGGGCCGAGAAAATGCCATTTTCGGTTAAGCTTTCCTATTACAAGCCGTCGTTTACTCTTAAATATTTTTGACAATTATACTAGGTCGACGGAAGCATGCGATTACCGCCAACCGGTCGAATTTTCATGATGAACATCAAATTGACAACAACTAAACATGTTCGCATAGGCCGTAATATGCCAAAATTAGGACAAAGTAATAGAATGAACAATGCCTTGAATAGTGTATTTTGTACCACCACTATACCCTACACCACGTGTGATAAAATATACAAATGTACATAACATCCAAAAAGACTTGACATAAATCTGGCTGTTATTATATCGATCACGTTTATCTGTTCATCTGTCCGCTTGTTCGCCTTTGGATTTTATGTTCAATCTATAGGTCACAATTTTTTGAATTAATATTTGGATGAAATTTACTACACTGACATGTTGTGGCCCAAAGACGAATGCTACTGAAAATAGTTAAAGTCGGAATACTTTTTCGATCACTTCCCAAACAACGTTTTATTTTGAAAAGTGGTCATATGAATAACTATGTCAAACAAAGTTGTGTAGGGTATGAAATTGTGAGTTATGATCTACTATAATGCTTTTATTGGCTTTCTTTCTAAATGCTAAAATATTCTTGAAAATTTCATTATAGAAGAATAAAAAAAAGTATTAATAAAGTAAAAAAGTAAGAAAATGAAATTCGGTCGTGACCGAATCTTTTATACCCATCCCCGTTTACCACAACAAAAAAAAAACAAACGAAGTAAAAGAACATAATTCTCATGCTCTATAATGTGGAGTGGGCGCAGCTGATCTCTTCTATTTTCAAAATAAAAGTTTTTGTCGTAAAGGAATGTGGGCGATGTAGGCGTGTCCTTGGAAAAGTTTAAGTCAATTCCAAATTCTTTTGCAACTTTGCCGACGATATCTTCCTTTTCGCTAACGAGAGAATGTTTACCACAAATACTACCAAGTTACGCAAAGAGACAGATGGACAGAAGAACAGGCGGACGTGCTAAGTTGAAACTGGACAAGAATTTAAGGTTCTTGAAGCTTTCTTCTGCGCGTTATAGGAGTATTGAAGAAATAATTAAATTTTAATACACTATAATTTTGGGTAGGCGTGGACAATTTTTTTCCGTTTTAGTGCGCAAATGCTACAGCATCGCTCATAGAGTATGCGTTCAAATTTTTGGGCATATATTTTCTATAGTTTGTAAGTAATGAA